TTATTCACTTGTTTATCGGAAACATTTATGAATTGGCATCACACACTTACTACTCATCTTCCCTGCAGAGAAGGAGGAGACGGTGGTGGAGGATCAGTCAGCCTGTGGGCAGAGAAGAGGAACGATGGGGCTTCTCATCATTTTTCTTAGCTCCTGTGTGATTCCGAAGTGCAAGAAGGGCTGTGCCACTCCTGGACTGGGGAAGGGCCATCACACTCTGCTGAGGAATTGGCTCGCAATAGTAAGCAAAGCGTTCTGCCTGGAGTTGGAAATGCCTCCTGTCTTAAACCATGAAGAATCACAGTACGCAATACTACACAGTTACACGGACTAATGGGCTCACTTAAGACACACGCCTTAAGCAAATTGCTTGACTGAATTGCTAAAAAGCCCCAGTGAAGGAGCAAAGTTTAACAGGGGCAGCCATTCCAAAAAAATAGCAGAGAAAGTTACAATGGACAGTGGCCACTACCAGCAGTACATTTGGGTGTAAAAGCAAACTGGAGGTCTGTTTTGCATGATCCTGGCAGCTTGTGCCAGCCACCACCTGTTCCAGTGAAGTTTCCCAAACTACCCCCACCAGTGAAGTTTGCCGTGTGTAGTGGGCGGTTGTTGGATTATTTGAGGGCTGCCATGCTGCCAGGGTTTGGATAACACAGAAAGTGGGGCCAATAAGGCTTACTGGATTTGTGGAAATCTGGCTGGCGAACACAACAAGGCACCATGGATCCTGCAAGCCGGACCACCATGAGAGTTGTTATAGCCGCAGCTCCCTTGAAATCCCAAAATTCAGGCAGCTGTGCTCTAGCAGTGTTTATCCCATTTAGGATCTGGCAGCCTCTGCTCTCTGTGCATGCTCAGGAATACTATACAAGCCCCATATAATCGTTTTCTACATTAGGTTCAAGCTAAGACTTAGGTTCCAGGAAAACCCCCTGTTGAGGAAATGCATCCTTCCTTCCCAGGAAACTCCCAAGAGGAGCCTGCCTGTATTTCAGCTTCCTTCAACCCGGTGCCGGCGACATCTTCCTTCAGTGCCACGGCAGCTGCAAAGCGGGGAGAGCTGTCCTGCCACGCAGCTGGCGGGCGCCAGGCTGGGGAACGTCCACGCCGCGTCTCCCGTGGCCCCGCCCCTCAGCACGCTGGCCAGCTCCCGTCCTCCCTCCCGCGCGTCTTCGCCGGGTAGTTCCGGGTCTGCCCCTGCTCGCGGAGGCAGCCGAAGGGAGGGGGCGGCCCGCGAGGAGCGCCTATATGAGCGCCTGCGCGGCAGCGCGGCAGCCCAGACGGCGACAAAATGGCGGCGCTGCGGGCCATTCGAGGGATGGTGAACGGAGCCGTGTCCGAGCTGAGCGGCGGAGGGGCGGCGCGGGAGCAAGCGGCGGCCGTCACCCGCGACTACATCTCCCAGCCTCGCCTCAGTAAGTGTGGGTCCGGGCGGAGAGGCAGCCTGGCAGCAGGAGGGACCTCCCTCGGTCCCACGCTGCGGGAGCTGGGCGGGCGCGGGGGAAGCCTGGCAGCTGTTCGCCCCCCCCCCCCGCCCTGTCATTTCATTGCACTGCACTGCACTGCACTGCACTCCTCTTTTTAATGCACGCGCGTGCACTCGCACACCCTGGCCCTCAACGTCAAGGGCTGGGGCGGCTGACGACATCGCTGTCTGCGGCAGAATAAGAAAGAAAACAATCATTCTCTCCCTTGGCATGCTTAGGGCGACCGACCAGAATTTCTGTGCCCCAGAAGGGAGGCATCCGTCGGACACAGAATCTTAGTCAAAGGGCAGAGTCATGTTGCTCGCAGAAGATGATCCTCCTAAGTGCTGAGTTTAGCCCCTCCTGCAGCTGCTGACGGTTAAATGCATTTTGGGGATGCAGCAGTGATGGAACAGGGGTGGATGTTGTTGCTACTGCTATTATGAATATTCAGCACCATCTCTGGATGTGGTGCTTTACAAAGAATGAGCGCACAGGTTCTTACCCCCATGGAGTTTCAGATCCAAGAATAAATATGGATAAAACCAGTATCTCTGCCTGAATTGTCCCCCACGTCAGCCAGCATTGTTTCTGTTTTTCCTTCTTTGGGGTCTCAGGTCTGTACCCCACTGGTACGTCTGTTTTACGAAGACCTAATCCTTCCTTTCTCATTTCCTCTCCATCTCCCCAATGTCAGAAATCTCCCCACACTTTCCTTTCTATTTGCTCTGCCATGGGCACAGCCACTTTGCTGTGATCATTCCACTAAAGACTGAATTGAGTGCCTTAACAACCAGGGGACCCATAACCCCCGTCTCCTTCAGGCTGCAATCCTAGGCACACTTGCATGGGAACAGCCCATTGGATACAGTGGGAGTTACTTCCAAAGAAATCTGCATTGGCTTCAGCCACACACCACTGGTAGAGCAGAAGGTTGTCTGGGCTCTCCTTTGGGGTACCGTGAACTAGTGGCATCAGAGAATGGTTTTGGTGGACAGCTAGGACAGCACTGAATAAGTGTTCCAGTTGGGGTTTTTAGGTATACGTTAGTGGGGTGGCTTTCAGTGAATCAGTAAATCTTCCTGCATGCTGGAAAACCTGTTTATTCTTAAATAAAACATGGTTGAGTTAAAGGATGTTGTGTAAGTTATTATGTCTAGAGCTGCATTTTGATTAGGTAACTAATGGATGGGGGTCTTCCTTTCCTCTGCTCCAATTAAAGCGTAAAGACTTTTTTATGAAGGGGCAAAATGACTGCTTGACCAGCTAATCCACTGTGCTGATTGGTGCTCTTTGGTGTGCATGAGAAACCTCCGGCAAGTCTCTGTACGGATAGAAGGGCAGAGCGTGCATGCTGTGCTTACATCCTGTTCCTTCACTGGAGATGATGGGGGCCGTCATTTGTGAAGGCCCAAATGAGGTTATGCTGGGTTGTCTTTCAATGGGAACTGAGAGTAAAAGGTTGTGAAACATCATGTGGTTGACTAATCTGCTCCAGCTAAGACTCAAGGTCATGTGGTACACTGCAGAATAATGTGTAGCAGCAGATTGAAGCAAGATGGCTCTTGTATTCTGGGATGTCTAGCTCTAACATGCTTTGGGGATGGGGTATTAATTTTAGGGACGTAAGGTGAGAGATTAAGGCTCATCATGGGCCTTTTGCATGTGCAGTTGTTGCCTGAAAAGAAGAATTGGCAGAAAAGATGGAACTATGGATAGACATCAGGAGGGCAGATGGCTTTTGAAAATGTGGGAGATGAAGAGCTTTTGATGTGGAATTAAAGTGTTACATAGTGGCATTTTGTTATGTGACAGTTTTTCAAGGAGTAGCCAAATCAGTCTCCAGCAAAAATGAAGATTCTTGTGGTCCCTTAAACTGTAAGGTGGCATATGACTGTTTTTATGAATGTGAGGTTTCAGAATGATTCCTAGTACTTTTATAATAAAAATGGAAGAAGTGTGAAGTAAATGTTTCTGAGGAGTGCTATCCAAGGAAGAAGGAGGTATCTTGTAAATCAAAAAAATCCATAGGTAGAGAATATTTGTTTAGATCACTGGGTCAGAAATCAATAGTGTCATAAGAAGTTGCATCACATGACTCCGTTGTGCAATTGTCTTCAGAATGGAAGATTTCCAAACATGGAGCAACCAAGACTGCCTAGGCTATGGAAGGTGTGGCCAGAAAGTAGATATCCAGTGGTTTTGTACTTCAGCTCTCAGCATTCCTCCTTATTGACCGTGTTAGCAGGGACTTCTGGAGCTGGTGCCTTAAACACCAACTAGGGGAAACTGTACAGATCGGACTGAACACAGGTAACAGTTCACTATTGAGCCTATGTGGCTGGGGTGATGACAAAGAAACATTTACCTGCTTCATTGTATCTTCACAATGCCATTCGACAGAGCTCTTTCAGGTGGTTTCAGGCCTCCTCTGAAGTGACCCACCAGGAGACGTGAAAAAACCCTCTGGGACCTGCTGTAGCACATTTGCTAGTTGCTTGGACGACAAATTTTGGGCATAAAATTACCCATATTCATCTAGATACCTCTGTTCATTCTATGGGTAACTCCAGAACACCATCCAATCCTATTTTATTAGATAAATTTCAGTTAATGTGGCATGAGAATGCTTGAAGAACTGAGACTGCAGTGCTTGGGCCTCACCCTTCTTGATTCGTGGTACAGAGTAGAGAGAGTTACTAGCTTCATGCAGGAAGCAGTGAATTCCTTTTCAAGAGGAAGCAGTGAATTCCTTTAATCTGTCCTGAATATCCCAGTCATGGAAGACCATGGATTCTACCATTATGGGATAAGAAGAAAATTTCTCCCTACCAACTTTCTCCACATCACACATACTTTTGTACCCCTGTAGCATGTCTCACCACACTTGCCTTTTCCCTAGAATAGGGAAATAGACTTAATTGTAATCAATTGTAATATTAATTGTAATATTCCCTTGTAAAGGAGTTTATTTCATTTTTATACTGTCCAATAGCTGAGACTCTCTGGATGGTTAGCAAAATATAACATGAGCAAGTGTGGAGTAATGAAGTTGGGACTTGATTGCCCCACCCTGCAAGCATGCACTAATGGGACCTGAGCTAGCGGTCACCCAGCAAGAAAGGGACCTTGGGGTAGTGGGGCACAGCTCGATGAAAATGTTGGGCCAGTGTACCACTGCTGTGAAGAAGGCAAGCTCCATGCTGGGCATCATTAGCAATGGAATAGAACTGCCAAAATCTTACTTTATGCAAATCTTTGGTGTGACTTCACATGGAATAGTCTAGTCACTTTACCTAGGGAGACATTTTTCTCTCTCTCCCATAACACTTGAACCCAGGGTCATCCTATGAAGCTGACTGGTGGAAAGTTTAGGACAGATAAAAGGAAGTACTTCAGACAACATATAAACCATGGAATTCATGCCTTGGAAGTGGCGATGGTTGCCAATCTGGATGGCTTTAGAAAGGGATTGGACAGATTCATGAGGGAAGAGGTTATCGGTGGCTACTAGCCTTGCTAATTAAGAGCTGCCTCCTTGACCAGAGGTGGCCTGCCTGCATACACCAGTCGCTGAGGGGCTTGGGCAGGAGGAGGTCTTCAACCCATCCTGCTTGAGGGATCCTGTGGGCAGCTCCTGTGGGCAACCACATGTGCAGAGTGTTGAACTGAATAATCCTTGATCCAGCATTGCTTTTCTTATGTTCTTAAGTTAAAATTAAAAGTTAAAATGACATGCACACCGAATCAGTTTAAAAGAGCAAAACCTTAACAGCTTTTACTATTGACATTGTAACATAGCAGTGGTAGAGAATAGTATGGAACATATAAAAGCTAGAGTTTAAAAATTAAGCTGTTAAAATGCTGGGGAAATGTTTTAAAAAGTCTTCACCCAGTGCTGAAAAGAATACGAAATAGGCACCAGGCACATCTCTTTCCAAAACCAGGCCACCTTCCTCCTGGTAGCCACCCACCTCCCTTCCATTAGAAGGGGCTGCCAGAGAAGGACCCTGCCAGGATATGGAATGGGCTTCCAAGGGAGGTGGTTGAGGCCTCATCAGTGAGGGTGTTCAAGGATGGATCGGGCAACCACATGTTGGGGATTATGTGAGTGGAGCTGGCTGGGGGTGGGGGTCAGACTAGATGGCCTGGGAGACCCCTTCACTTTTTTCCTACGTTTCTATGCCCCTGAAAGTTGACCTCGGGGTCCAGGTAGGTACATATGGAAGGAGGCAATCCTTCAGACCCGGCTGCGAACTGTTTATGCCTTTGAATGTTAGGACCCGCACTTTGAATCAGGCCTGGACTTCAGTCAGCAGCCAGTGCAACTGGAAGAGGGTGAGCATAATGTGCTCTCGTGAGCCAGTCCCCATTAAAAGTCTAGCTGCCTGTTTTGGATCAGTTGAAGCTTCTAGATTATCTCATTGCAGTAATCCAGTCAAGGAGTTACCAGGGCATGGAGAACTGTAGCTAGGCCCTCTCTGTCCAGATAGGGTTATAGTTGGTATATCAACTTAAGCTAATAAAAAGTGCACTGTGTTGGTTGCTTCAGCCCCTTGATCATTTTAGCTGCCCTTTTGTGCATTTCTTCCATCTCTACAGTAGCTATTTGTAGGTGCAGTTCCCTGAGTATGGTTGTATTGAGCATTTCTTAGCTGCATACACTGAGGCTGAACCTGAAACCAAGTCCTGGCCCCATCACCATAGTCAGATTAAGTTTGTTGTAGCTGATCAAATAGGAACCAACTCAGTAGAACTGTAGAAATGCAAAACTGTCAGTTGCTCCCTTGAAAGCTAGTCTGTTTTCGTATTCAAAGCAGCGCACGGCCATTCCATAAGTTGATCTCTTACTGCAAATCAAGATGTTTGCAACAGGACGACAGCACAGCAAACTGTCACCATTATGAAACTTACAGAAAGGGGAAATCCTGCATTGCAGAAATCAGGAT